GCTGGTCTTGCTTGGGTGTCACAGCCCCACAAGGGCGAGGAGGACAGCACCTAGAGGAGCTGCTCAGCAAGGTGTCACAGCCTGAGTGGGGCAATCGTATATTAGTTATCCCTGAGGCATAAGAAATTACCCCCAACTAGTGGGTTAGAACAGTAATCTTTCCCTGCCTCACGGTTTCTGCAGAATTCAGACTGCACAAGGGCTTGTTGCTGCTCTGTGACAGCTGGCAGCCTTTGCCTGAGGGCTGAACTCTTTGGCTGTGCTGGCCGGGAAGGCTGGGGCTCAGCGTTGGTGGCTCCCTGCATGCCAGATTAACGGTGGGGAGGGGATGGAGGAGAGCAGTGAGAGCTCTGTCCCAGAAGCATGTCAGCACAGGGATGAGCGGAACCCAATGACAGGCTCGGAGGCAGCAGGCTCCCTGACAGAAGGCTCAACCAGAGGCTGCAGTGGTGCAGGCGTCCCAGGGGCCATGGCCCACGGTGGGTTCTTGGCTTCGAGCCGGAAAGAATTCAACTGCAAGCCAGCATATCGTTTAAAGTGAAAGAGTTTATTAGTGAAGTGACAAAGTGGCTACTCCACAGGCACAGCAGCCCTCTCTGGCAGGGCTTACTTCTCTTACCGAGGTTTACTTAATACAGGGAAGGGCATTCTGTAAGGGGGATACTCGGGATTTTTCCGGGAAAGGGTTGGAGACTTCCTCAAAGAGCCTGTGAGGTTTATGGGCTTTCCTTCCGGATCCTGGTGGCTGGGGAGGGTGTGGCCGTGTGCTAACGTGTTACAATGAGGTATGATGAGGCTGGGGTCACTGCGAGGTGAAGTTGGTTGCCAAGTTGGATCGAGCTGTTCTGTGTTCTAAGCCCTAAGTCCGTGGGGAGTGGCCTTGCTGTCTCTGATGGTCTTTTGGCCACAGCCCTTTCTCAGGAGCACGTGAGAGTGCTGACCCCTGGCTGCAGGCGTGCGAGGCCCTCAGGGAGGGCATTCCGCTGGCAGCGCCCTGACCAGGAACACCCTGCAGCTGGCAGCCGGGCCTGCGGGTCACCGCTGCAGAGGACAGGAGGTGAGCAGGCAGTGCTGTCTGGAAGTCCTGGGGCTGAATCCTTGTCGCTGGGCCTGGACGAATGTCATGGCTAGAGCCTGAAACTGGGTGCAGAATTGGGAGACCACGAGCACTTTTCAAGGCACAGAGCTTGAAGGGAGCGGGTACCCCCTCTCCAAGGCGAGGCTGTAGGAGCCTCCGTCCCCGCCGCAGCGCTCGGGGCGGAGGCGATCCAGCCCGGCTGCTGCCCGGATCTGAGCTCGTGGCGGCCTGAAGCGGGGCCCCGTGGAGAGGAGAGGAGAGGAGAGGAGAGGACTGCACTGTCCGCCTCTTATCGGATGGCATCGTTCCCTGTGCTCAGTCCCGAGGGGAGCACTCCCTGTCCCTGTCCCGCTCCGGGGAGGCCGGGGCGCACGGCTGGGCCTCGGCGCTGCTCCCACGGGGTGTGGGCAGAGAGGAGCCTCGCCGGAGGCTGTGAGGCTCCGTGTCCATCGACCTCACGGGACGGAGGCGGCGGCGTAGACGGGAGCGCTGGAGGACAGAGGGAGCGCACCCCGCCGCGTGGGCGGGCGGTGGGTCCGAGATCCCCGCTCAGCGCCCGGGACCGAGCCGCTCCCCGCGGGCCGCCCCGCACAGCTCCCTCCGCCGCACCGGCGCCGCGGGGATGCGCGGCGGAGGCACCAGGGTGCGGGTGTCCCTCTTGGGGCGGGGCGGGGCGGTGCATGTGGCTGAGCACTTGCGTAAGACAAGGAGGCCGAAGCCAAATGGCCAGTCTGCAGCCACCGGCAGCTCCAGGCGGGCGGCGGGAGCCCCAGACCCCTGCGCCCAGCCCGCACCGGAGCCACCGCCCGCCCGGAGGAGCTGCAGAGCCGTCAGCCCCGGGGCCTCTGGCGGCGCCTCCGCCGGGAAATGAACCGGCGTCCGGGCACCGGGCCCTCCGCTCGCCGCCCCGCAGGGCCCGGCGGGAGGGAAGAGTCCCGCCGGCCTCGTAGGAAGCGGCTCGGGAGCAGACACACCGCCTTTGGGCCGCGGGCACCGGGCACACGGGAGTGGGTTCCGGAGGGGCAGGCGGTAGGTAGACAGACGTGGGGACGTCGCCCAGCGGCCGCTCTCCCCGGCGCCGAGCCGGCTGGGGAAGCGTCCCGGTCGGCACACGCACCCTCCCCTCCGTGTGCACCCACGGGCCGGGCCCTCCCCTCCGTGTGCACCCACGGGCCGGGCCCTCCCCTCCCGTGCACCCACAGGAAACCGGCCACGGGCGGGGCGGGGCTGCCGTGCGGGCGGAGCCAGCCGGCCAGGGCGCAGAGGCAGCGGGCGGCAATAGTGCCCGGGGCGCTTTGGGAGCATAGAACTGAGCCAGCGCTTTCGAAGCCCTTCCGTGGACTAACCTGTGATCAGGCGTTATCACGGACTCGGTTCTTTCTAGAAAGGGCACACCACCTGTTTCCCCGGTTGCTATGGGGTTCCAGTTGGGCAGGAAGAATGCCAAGCCCGGGGGGGGGGGGGAGGTGCGCGCGCTGGGGAGGGTGCAGCCCTCCCAGGCACCATCCAGCCTCCCGTCTCCCCCCCCCCCCCCCAATTCCTCAGCTTCAGGTTCTTTAATCCACTGCCTCCCCAAGCAGGCGGTATCCGGCGTTTGAAAGCTTGTGCCTCAAGCTAGGCAAGTCCAAGAGAGGAATGATCATTTTCAACCACGGGAGCCCAAGAGTCACTGGAAGGACAGGGTTCTTTCCTGCTCCCCTGGGAGAAGCCCCTCAGCCCTGGGCTCTTCAGAGCTGCCAAACCACTGGAACTAAGGGCCAGGCTGGGGTGCGCCCAGAGGGTGCGGCCTGCCGAGGAGCCCTCCTGCACCCAAGGCTGGAGTTGGTCACCCAAGGCAATCCCAGCCCAGGTTATTCAGAAGCATTTCTTAGAAGCCCACGTCTTCCTTTTCCTCTGTGCCAAGGGCACTGCGGCTGCCGTGGCCAGCGGGGCATACGGAAGGAAGAACAGCTTGCAGTGGAGGAGCCCACCCCCTCTATCCAGGGAGGCATCTGGGTGCCCGTCAGAGAACCCCAGGGGCAGGGCAGGAAGAGACAGTATATGACCTGGTTAAGATAAGCACCGTGGCCTGGACTGGTGACTAAGCCTAGCTTTGTACACATTGGCCTGTCCCTCTCCATGGTCTCCCAGGTCTGCTGTACCTTTCTGTAGGCTCCAGGCCGTTCCTGACTCCTCTTTCAGAGAAAAAAGAGGCCATTTTCCTCTGAATACCCCCAAGGTCTCAACTAGATCTTCAGGTCTGTGCCTCCTACTTGAAAGGATAGAAGGCTGGGGTTCTAGCTGGCATATTTAGGGCCAAGGATAGCATATTCTTCAAGCCTGTAACCCTCGGGAAGTGGCTGGGTAACTTCGAGCAAGTCCTCTCTTTGTTCAATATTCCTTAAGTTTCCCATCAACAAAGTGGTGGGATACTGTCACACCCTGAAAGACGCAGAGAAGTCTGCGCTGTAAACTCAGTGCCTGGCAGCCTGCTCACCTGTCACTGCAAGCTCTCCTGCAGCTCCGGTGAAGCTGGGAGAGGGTCACGTCACTGCACACGCCATCAGCCCTGGGAGTGAGATACGTGAAACCCTCACCCTGGCATCCTGGTTTGGGAGAGCGCAGTCGGAGGCAGATTGGCTTTCAGACCAGGTGACAGCCTAGAGGCCTCTCCCCCATCATGGCCAACACCCCCTCACTGCTTCCAGCAGGTATCCCACTGCCTCCTGCACAGGAGCTGAGAACACACAGGTCTTCACTGACATTCAATACCTGTTCTGCTTCCTCTGTTCCCATCTTAAGAATATTAGCACCTAGCCTGCCCATGGCTGTCAGACTTCTTCTTTAACATATCCAAGGTTAATATATCAACTCATACTACTCATTTTCCAAACTTATTAAAAAGTGGCATGCCTGGTTTTCTGTATCCACTTTAAAAACTATATATATATTTTTATTGATTTTAGAAGGGAAGGGAGAGGGAGATAGAAACATCAATGAGAATCATTGTTCAGCTACCTCCTACCATTCTCCCCCGACCCCATCATGGGTGATCAAGCTCGCAATCCAGGTCTGTGCCCTCGACCGGAATCAAACCCTAGACTTCTTAGTCCAGTTTACATGAGGTTCACTTTTGTGTTGTACATTTCTCTGGGTTTTAAAAATGCATAATAATATTATGGACCCGCCATCACAGTGTCACACAATCGTTTCAACATCCTCAACATTCCTGGCACTTGGCCCACTCACTACTCCTCCTCCCTCCCCGTAAGCCCCTGACTTGATAGCTCATTTATGTCAGTAAGTCTATTTTATATTTTCCTTCAATAAATATTTACTGAACTCCTATATCAGTACAGTGCTCTCCCATAGAAATATAATGCAAGCCAGATTTACTTTTTCTAGTAACTGCATAAAAAAGGTAAAAAGAGATGAAATTTTAATAACATATTCTACTTAATATATTGAAAACATTTCAACACTTAATCAGCATAAACACTGAGGTACTTTGTGGCTTTGTACTGAGTCTTTGCAGCCAGTTGGCATGCTGCATTTTTAGCACAGCTCAAACTGGACTGGCCGCACTTCCAGCGCTCAGTGGGAACTGCAGCTTGGGGGCCAGAGTGGCTATCGGTTCTGCCCTCACACAGTTTACAGTCCAGGGTGGGAGGCAGACAATAGAGTACAGTCATTTCAGAGAGTATAAGTATTATTGAGAAAGTAATGCACCCAAATTACACAGAGACTGCGAGTTAGGTTGCCTGGACAGTTGGGAGAGCCTTTGCAAGGCTGAAATCCAAATGAGGAGGCATTAACCATCAATTATCTATTGCCACAATAATGCTGTAGGACAAACCATTTCAAAAATCAGAGGCTTAACATAATGACTAGCTATTACTGCTCATGAGTCTGTAAGTCAGCTGGGCAGTTCTTCTGGTCCCAGATGGACTCACTCGTGCTCAGTGGGCGGCTGCCGGTCAGATTGGTGGCTGTGCTGATCCTGGGAGGCCTGCATGTTTGGGGTCTGAGGGCTGTTGCTCGGTGTTGGATGACCTCAGCTCTTCTCCATGTAGCAGGGATCCAGGAGAAAATGTGGAAGCGTTCAAGGATTCTTAAGGCTCAGGCTCAGAACTATAATTTCTGCCACATTCTTTTGGCCAACACAAGTTACAAGGTCAGCCCAGATCCTCAGAGGAGCTGCAAAGTCACAATGCAAAAGATGTGCATACAGGGAGGGGTGGGAAATTCAGGCATTTTTTGCAATTGATCTCCCTTATCACTTAAAAAGCTTTCAATTTCACCAGAAAGTTATAACAATTTACACATATATTGTCCTCAAAATATAAAAATAGTACAGGGAGAAATTGACAAAATGATTCTTATAGTGGGAGGTTTCAACCTATCTTTTGCAATTATCGATAAGTCAAGCACACAAAAACATCCTCACAGATACAGAAGAGTTCATCACAACTTAGGAGGTTTTCGGTCAACAAATATTTAAGGCACACTATTCTAGATCTGCTGGGCACATAGCAATGAACAAAAGCCAACAATCTGTTCTCACAGTTTATATTCTAGTGGAAGAAAACAAAAAATCATCAAGTTAACATGCAAAACAAACATGAATCCTCTGGAGAAAAACGATAGGTAAAGAGACTATGAAGCACTGGGATGGCAGGTGAGGAGCTGAGCTTAGAGCGGGGAGGGTGGCACTGAGCGCAGGCGGGAGCGAAGACTTGAAAGAGGTGAGGAGTCACGTGCCTATCTCCAGGGCGAGTGGAGGGAACAGCAATGGCCTTGACTGGAGCTGGTTTGGCAGGTTCTGGAAGTAGATAGGGACAGGCTTGGCACGGGGGAAGGGATGGGAGCAGCTCGGGTAGGGCCTTACAGACTACGCTAAGGACTTTGGATTTTCCTCTTTGTGATGGAGGGCTTTTTGGGGGCTGAGGGTGGAAGAGCTGAAAACCCTGGGAAAAGGGAGCTGTTCGAAGATAACAGTCAGGTGCTGGGAGCTTTAGAGATCTGTGGGTACCAAACCTTGTCAGGCAACATGTCCCTAGGGAATTTCTCTAGCTTGGTCTTTCAAGGACCTAGACAGTTCATTTCCCAAAGGACATCACCATCTCCAGAGAACACATTCCAGCTACCCTGAAAAACAAGGTAATTGGGGTGATAGTAGTATTCCTTCCCTCAATTCTCAGAAGGAAAACCTACCCAAAGCGAGAACAAAGGGAACTCCAGAAAGCACCTCCCCTGTCCACTGGGAAAACCATCAGTTTATGGCGCCACAGTTATGTAATAAACTGCTGTTTCCAGTCCCTTTCCTTTTAAGTTACAATTTTACATGAAAAAGAAAACAAATGGGGGCATTTATCAACAAATACTTGTTGAGCATCTACCATGTGCCACACACTCTTCCAGGTGCTAGGGATAGAGCAGAAAAGACAGGCAAAGATTCCTGCCCTCACAGGGAAGATAAACATGCAAGACACACAACATATGTGATATGTTACATGAGAACATAAACACCCTAGAAAGAAATAAAAAAAAAGAGTAGGAGCATTTGGGAATGAGTGTGTGTGTGTGTTACAATTTAAAATAGGCTGATCAGGATGAAATGAATTGAAAAGTCACAGCTGCCCACTGGGGCAGAGCAGAGGAGCTGGGGAGTGTCAGGGAAAGGGCAGTGTCTGGCCCACTCGTGGAGGGTCTTGCAACATAACCACTACAACGTCCAAGTGCACGATTTAGTTTTATTCCACTTTCTATGACAAGAAGAATTTCGAAAACGAATGTAATTTCTGACTTCTAGTTCTCTGAGTTTTTAGGATGTAATTTATTTTACTAACATTGCCAGAAAGACTACACAGCTCTATTTAGCAACTTTAGTCCTGACAGTCCCCATGGCTGGGCTAGAACAAAGGCACAATAATGGCGAACAGATTCTCGTATTAGTTGTGTTTGCAGGATTTTCTTTTTTCAGCTAAAGCAAAGTATGAATCCACCTGAGTGGAATTCAAGATCATGGGGATTCTACCCTGCTCCACGCAGCACACAGGAGGGAAGTCTGCTGTATCAAACCATACAAGCTTGATTCAGAGCCAGGACTTAAGTTTATGGCATAAATATGACACTTAATAGGGGAAAATCAGATATTTGAGAGTTTGCAAAGAGCCATTCTAGCAAAGAAGGAAGCACTGACTACTGGCTATCTGTTTTACATGTGAGGCAGATTTGAAGAGGTTAAGAGAACCAATCTAGGTGGTGGATTATAAACTGAGGGAACTAAGAAAACAAAAGCAAAATAAAAATAAAAAAGCTGTTTGCCGCTGCCCGCCCGCACGCGCGCATGGAGAGGTCGCAGCCGGAGAGGAGGAGAGGGCGGGGAACCGCCTTTCCCTCCCTAGCAGGAAGGAAATAAAACCCCCAGCCTGCGCTGAACCCCCGAACCGGCAGCGCTGAGCACCCCCGAACCGGCAGCGCTGAGCCCCAGTTATGGGCCAGACCCTGGGGACCCAGGCTCCGGTGGGAGGAGACGGGGCAGTGAGGCGGAAAACGGCGAAAGGCAGGGCCCCGGGAGTCGCGCGCAATGCGCGCAGAGGACTGAATGTTGACTCTGATGCTGGGTTGCCCTAGCTGGAAGAAACAAGGCCTCTGGCGGCGCTGAGCCTCAGTCCGGACTGCTCTGAACCCCAATTCTGGGCTAATCCCTGGGGACCCAGGCTCAGGCAGAGGGAGACGGGGCTGTGAGGTGGAGTCAGGGAAGAGCGGCGAAAGGCCGGGCCCCCGGGACTCTCGCAAACTGCGCGCAGAGGACAGTCTGTGGGACTCGCGCAAACTGCTCGCAGAGGACAGTCTGTTGACTCTGATGCTGGATTTCCCTAGCGGGAAGGAGAAAAAAAAAGCTCTAGGCTGGGGGAACGCGGAGGGGAGCAGAAGCCCCTGCCGGCCTCCAGCCAACCGGGCACCAGCAAGGAGGCGGGCCATGGGGCCCCTGGGGGCGTGGGTGCCCCTGAGCCTTTGACCACTGAGCTCGGGCAATGGAGCCAAGGCCAGGGGCTGCTTCCTGGGCGGAGCCGTCCCAGCAACAGGCTGAAGCAGCACAGGAGCCCGCGCAGAACAAAGGGGTGCCCCAGGCCAACCTGCTGAGCTCCCAGGACAAGGAGGAAGAAACCAAAGAAGTTCTCAATGTGAAGAAATCAAGTGAGAGCAAAAAATAGTAAAATTACTTAAGAAAGAATACAAAGAAGATCTTGAAAAATCAAAGACTAAGTCAGAACTCAACTCACCAGCCAACATTGCAACATAAATGCGTTTTAAAAAGAAAAAAAAAGGACAGAATGTTGGAACAGCAACGGCCAGGCCTAGAGTGGCCAGGCACAAGGCAGTGGCAGCCAGACCCGGAGCAGCAACGGCCAGGCCCCAGAACAACAGCAGCCAGAACCAGAGCATCAACAGCCAGCACTGGAGTAGCCAGACCTGGGGCAGTGGCAGCCAGGCCTGAGGCGGAGGCGGCCAAGCCCAGGGTGGCCAGTCCAGGAACACCCAGACCCGGAGTGGCCGGGCCCGAAGAAGCCGGGCCCAGAGCAGCCGGGGTGGGAGCAGCCAGACCCAGAACAGCAGTAGCCAAGCCCAGAGCATCCAGGTCGGGAGTGGCCAGGCTCGGAGCTGCCGGGCCCGGGGCAGCCGGGCCCAGAGCAGCCGGGTCAGGTGCGGCCAGGCCCGGAGCAGCAGCTGCCAGGCTGGGAGCGGCCAGGCCCGGGGGAGCAGCCGGGGCTGGTGCGGCCAGGCCCGGAGCAGCGGCTGCCAGGCTGGGAGCGGCCAGGCCCGGGGGAGCAGGCGGGTCGGGTGCGGCCAGGCCCGGAGCAGCGGCTGCCAGGCTGGGAGCGGCCAGGCCCGGGGGAGCAGGCGGGGCTGGTGCGGCCAGGCCCGGAGCAGCGGCTGCCAGGCTGGGAGCGGCCAGGCCCGGGGGAGCAGGCGGGGCTGGTGCGGCCAGGCCCGGAGCAGCGGCTGCCAGGCTGGGAGCGGCCAGGCCCGGGGGAGCAGGCGGGTCGGGTGCGGCCAGGCCCGGAGCAGCGGCTGCCAGGCTGGGAGCGGCCAGGCCCGGGGGAGCAGGCGGGGCTGGTGCGGCCAGGCCCGGAGCAGCGGCTGCCAGGCTGGGAGCGGCCAGGCCCGGGGGAGCAGGCGGGGCTGGTGCGGCCAGGCCCGGAGCAGCGGCTGCCAGGCTGGGAGCGGCCAGGCCCGGGGGAGCAGGCGGGGCTGGTGCGGCCAGGCCCGGAGCAGCGGCTGCCAGGCTGGGAGCGGCCAGGCCCGGGGGAGCAGGCGGGTCGGGTGCGGCCAGGCCCGGAGCAGCGGCTGCCAGGCTGGGAGCGGCCAGGCCCGGGGGAGCAGGCGGGTCGGGTGCGGCCAGGCCCGGAGCAGCGGCTGCCAGGCTGGGAGCGGCCAGGCCCGGGGGAGCAGGCGGGGCTGGTGCGGCCAGGCCCGGAGCAGCGGCTGCCAGGCTGGGAGCGGCCAGGCCCGGGGGAGCAGGCGGGGCTGGTGCGGCCAGGCCCGGAGCAGCGGCTGCCAGGCTGGGAGCGGCCAGGCCCGGGGGAGCAGGCGGGTCGGGTGCGGCCAGGCCCGGAGCAGCGGCTGCCAGGCTGGGAGCGGCCAGGCCCGGGGGAGCAGGCGGGTCGGGTGCGGCCAGGCCCGGAGCAGCGGCTGCCAGGCTGGGAGCGGCCAGGCCCGGGGGAGCAGGCGGGGCTGGTGCGGCCAGGCCCGGAGCAGCGGCTGCCAGGCTGGGAGCGGCCAGGCCCGGGGGAGCAGGCGGGGCTGGTGCGGCCAGGCCCGGAGCAGCGGCTGCCAGGCTGGGAGCGGTCAGGCCCGGGGGAGCAGGCGGGTCGGGTGCGGCCAGGCCCAAAGCAGCGGCTGCCAGGCTGGGAGCGGCCAGGCCCGGGGGAGCAGGCGGGTCGGGTGCGGCCAGGCCCGGAGCAGCGGCTGCCAGGCTGGGAGCGGCCAGGCCCGGGGGAGCAGGCGGGGCGGGTGCGGCCAGGCCCGGAGCAGCGGCTGCCAGGCTGGGAGCGGCCAGGCCCGGGGGAGCAGGCGGGTCGGGTGCGGCCAGGCCCGGAGCAGCGGCTGCCAGGCTGGGAGCGGCCAGGCCCGGGGGAGCAGGCGGGTCGGGTGCGGCCAGGCCCGGAGCAGCGGCTGCCAGGCTGGGAGCGGCCAGGCCCGGGGGAGCAGGCGGGTCGGGTGCGGCCAGGCCCGGAGCAGCGGCTGCCAGGCTGGGAG